CCCCAAAACCCCAAAACCCCAAAACCCCATTGACCAGGCTAAAGAAGAAATTGCTAAATAGTATGAATGAAATTAAGATAAACGTCCTTAATATAGTTATTTTATGAGCATTACTACTACTCATCAGAATTCATCTGTTATTTTAGATTCCAAAGTTGCCTGTTCATTATTAAATTTCAGTAGTTGAACTAGTTTGATTAAAATCTGGACAAAGAGGAGCTTTTGGATTGCAAGAAGCTGGCATAGTAAAATGATCTTCAGGCCTAAATGAATCAGTGCTAAAGTTATAGAAACTTTGATAAACTCTAAGTATTAGTGGCTCTTGAGGATTGTTCTCATTCTTGGAGAGACCAGTGTAGTAGAAGAAGGAAGGCACATGATATGTTTAATTGTTTCTTTGTTCTACTTATTCATCTGCCCAGAAGTTATAAGAGAAAATTCCCCCTGAATTAGGAGCGTTTACTTCAAGACCGACATATTTCTAACTAGGTCCGTAGGTTTTAATACCAGTAAAATTAGTTCTCTCAGAGAAATTTCTAACTGGTGGGTGGAAGTTATTTGCAAGAATACAGCAATCTCCGAACTCAGCTGGGGCATTTTTTGTTGTTAAGTATGCCTTTCCCTCGTCTTTGATCAAGTAAAATGTGCAAGGGAAATCAACTACGTAGTTAGGGAAAATTGGTACACATCTATCTGTATATTTTTCAACTTGGGCTCCTCCTCTAAATGTTGAGTTATAATAGGTGAAACCTGGTCCATTTACCATTGGATACTTGTCTTTTAATTAGTCAGGAGCAGATGGGTAATAAGGAGGAGCACAGTTAGGGTCACTGAAATCACACAAGATATCCCATTTATCAAAGCTCATTGTAAAAGCACTAGGATACCTGACATTGTGAGGTCTACCTCCATTTGGTTTTCTCACTTCACCACAACTATTATGAACTTATGCTGTATCAATGCAATCATCGTTATCTCTTAGCTTTGTTGACTTATAGCCTGGCCAAGCGAATGATGAAGAGAATAAGAAGGATATTACGAGCGCTGCTTTCATTAAAGGATTCTGTTATAATAATATTTTATTACTAAAGCTTCAATTGAGATCCACTTCTTTAATTAAGAGTTATTTCCTTGAGCTAAATTATTCTATATTTAATCTGAAAGAATTTTTTGAAACATCACTTACTTAAATGGAGCTCGGGGTTTTGGGGTTTTGGGG